AACTATTCAATAGTTTTAATATAAAACACAAATGGCTTTTTTTCCCCTTGGCTTTTTCACCCCGTTCTACTCTACATTTAAATATTACAATTTTATTAAATCTTATTCTATTGAAACAAAGGAAAAGGGTCAATCCATTATATTTCGAATGAAGTCGTCGCTGACTAATTTTTAAAAATTATAATACTTTGCAGGAATGATTTTGAAGTTATCAAGATCACGAAATGAAAAGAATTTTATTAAAATTTTAATTATTTATTGCAAAATATGAATTTAAAGTATATGAGGTGCTGAAAACTGTCAATTTTTTAGCCATTAGAAAATATGCAAAAATACGTAGAATTTACCATAAAAATAAAAAATTTTTTTTGTAATTTACTAAGAATGAATAAATTTATCCTTATCAATTGATGTAATTATTTAAATATGTGAAATAATATATAAAATATGATTTTCAAGTTCGCCTGTCAAATAACCTAAATTTGCAAATTTCATCTATTAAATGTGAGAAAGAGAAGTCATTAAATTAAAAAAAACCTTACCAAATATAAAGTACCTGTGACTAACTTTTAGTTTTTCTTAGCACTTTTTTCCTTTTTTCTTCATAAATATGAAATAAAAAGCAATAAAAATTGTCACTTTGCTTATTTTCACTATTTTCAAATGTAAATAACTTTCTTGGAGAAAACTCAAAAATTACAAAACTTGGGCAATATCTAATTGATCACTAAATACACACACTGGAAAAAAATTCGCTTTGGTCCCGAAGATACTTTTTGAGATAATTAAGTTTAAACTTTTCACAATTTTTATCAGGTTAATACATGTAGTTTTTTAAGGACGAAGTTAGGTTTTATTGGTTAAACATTTTGAACTAACTTCAATTTTATAAAAATCACATGCATTAACCTGATAAAAATTGTTAAAAATTTAAAAATAATTATCTCAAAAAGTATCTTCGGGACCAAAGCGAATTTTTTTCCAGTGTGTGTAGTTAGTGATCAATTAGATATTGCCCAAGTTTTGTAATTTTTCAGTTTTCTCCAAGAAAGTTATTTACATTTGAAAATAGTGAAAATAAGCAAAGTGTCAATTTTTATTGCTTTTTATTTCACATTTATGAAGAAAAAGGAAAAAAGTGCTAAGAAAAACTAAAAGTTAGTCACAGGTACTTTATATTTGGTAAGGTTTTTTTCAATTTAATGACTTCTCTTTCTCACATTTAATAGATGAAATTTGCAAATTTAGGTTATTTGACAGGCGAACTTGAAAATCATATTTTATATATTATTTCACATATTTAAATAATTATATCAATTGATAATGATAAATTTATTCATTCTTAGTAAGTAACAACAATTTTTTTTTATTTTTATGGTAAATTCTGTTTTTTTTGCATATTTTCTAATGGCTAAAAAATTGACAGTTTTCAGCACCTCATAAACTTTAAATTCATATTTTGCAATAAATAATTAAAATTTTAATAAAATTCTTTTCATTTCGTGATCTTGATAACTTCAAAATCATTCCTGCAAAGTATTATAATTTTTAAAAATTAGTCAGCGACGACTTCATTCGAAATATAATGGATTGACCCAAAAGAGGTTTGCATTTTGTAGTAAATTTAATGACGTTTGACGTAATGGCAATAATTTTGAAGATTAGATTAATTTTTACTTCAAAAATTGAAGAACAAATTTTAAATCATTTTTTCATAGACTTTGACCATTTTCAAAATATTTAAAAATATCACCAACAACAATTCGATTTGCACTATTTTTTTTAAAAAATATTTTTAAATATTTTAAAACTAGTCAAAGTCCTGTGAAAAATTAATAAAATTTTTTTTTAATTTTTGAAGTTAAAATTAATATAATCTTAAAAATTAATACCATAACGTCAAAAGTCATTAAATTTATTTCAAAATCCACAAATATTTTTATTCGTTTAATGGATTTTTAATAAAATAGTCGTATTTAAAAGTAATAATTTAATTTTTTAAATAGTTCTATTGTAGTTACTTTGCTTCTGAAAAATGTCAAATTTAAAAAATTCATAACTTTCTTTTTTTTATCAAATAAAGAAATAGAAACAAAATTATTTTATTATTTTTCATAAAAATTTCGAAAAAAATTATCCCAGTAAGAAAGAAATTTTAAATAAAACTCTTACGTGGAATGCCCCATATAATTTTTCTCTTTTTAAAGTATAGGGTTAGAATTTCTCAAACGAATCATCTAAAATTTCAAAAATTAATTAATTTCGTACAATCATTTTTTTGTATTCTTAGTTTGATCAAAATAGGTTTTTGAAATTATTAAAGGAAAACATTTCTGTTGCTAAAGTTATTAAGAACTTAATTTTTTTGCAGTTTTAAATAAAAAAAATTTTTTCTGAAGATCCGGTTGACCAATTTAAAAATAAAAAAAAAAGTTTTTTTCGTCACGAAATGCACAATTCAAAAATAATTTTTGTTTAAAAAATCAGTTAATTAACAAAAATTATTTGTAAAATTTTTGAATTAATAACAATTCATAGTTATTATTTATTATAAATAATATAAATACGCCTAAGGAAACTATGAAGTTAAACGCTATAATTGTTTGTCGTTTATCAGTATATAAAATTAATTATTTATTATTCAAATATTATATCTATAATTAAATAATTATTGTTAATTAACTTAGTTTTTCTAGTTTCATTTTTTTCATAACAATTTTTTACTTAGAAATTTATGCGAAATATAAAACAATTTTTAAATTTTACGGATATGCAGAACACTTTTCAATTAACATTTTGTAAATAAACAATTTAAAAAACTTTTAAAAATAAAATTTTTTTAAAACAAACATTATTTTTGAATAGAATTTTTATTTATGAAATTTATTTATTTTTTTTAATCATAACGGAAAAAAACACATTTCCGCATTTGAACGTAAATGGCACAACGGGTCTACTGGACCCGACGTATTTAAACATGTATTGTATAGCCGGTATTTAATATTTTTGCACAAAAATTTAATCTGAAGTAGCTTATGATGTGCTATTTAAAATGTAATTAGTTTCACAGAGATTAATTTATTTTATGTTAGTTAAAAAAAATTGTGAAAAATAAAAACGAAAAATTGCGTGTTTTTACTTAAAAATTCATGAGTTATTTAAATTGTAATATTGTGACTTAAAAATTTAAGGTATTATGTATTACGGTGCACTAGAAGGAGGTTTAAATAAAAATGAATTGGCACTTAAAAATTCTTTTTGATTATTGTTCTAAGATGAATAAAAAATTTTTCTCAATAGGTTTTAAAATCAGCTTACGTGCCCAATTTAAAACAAATTGAGTTTTAAATATTTAAAAATAGTGTTTTATGAGGAACCAGAATTTATTTAATGTATACTTATATGCGTATAGATAATAGATGTTTTAGATTTGGGTTCATATAAATTTATTAACAATGAAGTTATTTTCTTGTTTCGTTTTTATATTGACGCATTAAGAGTGTCTAATGGTATCTGAAATTCTTTGGCAAGAAGAGAGCTTTAATTATCGCTCTGAACGTGAAATAGAATTGATTTTAAAATACTTTTTTTCTCGAAACACGAACACTTTTAACAAAATCAGCCAAAATCCTCATCTTATAAATTTCCTAAATCCAAAAGACTGTACGAATCCATAGAAAAACATGGTTGCAAAACAAAAAGTAGAAAAGTAATCTAATAACAGCTGCGACTTTGTGCGCCCTGCATGCTGCTGCCATCTGACGGCGGCAGGAGGTAATAAACCCCTCATTATATTACTTTTCGTTTTGCAATCGTGTTTTTGTATGGATTCGTATAATCTTTAGGATTTAGGAAATTTATATAAGATAAGGATCTCTAGCTGCTTTTGTAAAAAGTGTCCGTCTTTCGAGAAGAAAGTATTTTAAATTCAATGTTTATCATTTTCACGTTTAGTGCCATTTTTATAGAGCGATAATTAAAGGTCTCTTCTTGCCAAAAAATTTCAGAGACCCTTCGACTCTCTTGAATAAATTTTGTCACTCTTAAAATCGTTCTTTTAACATTATAATTTAATTTTTTAAAATTGGACAAACACACTACCGCAATATAATTATTTATATGTAAAATTGAAAATAAGTAATTATTTTATCATTTATTACAGTATTTATTAGATTAAATAAATTCTGATTCCCCATAAAACACTGTTTTTATATAAAAACTCAATTTTATTTAAATCGGTCACGTAAAGTGATTTTAAAAACTATTGAGAAATGTTTGTTATTCATCTAAGAATAATAATCAAAAAGAATTTTTAAGTGCCAATTCATTTTTATTTAAACCACCTTCTGGCGCACCGTGGTAATATTCTTGATGTATTATTTTTTAAGGAAAAAATTACCAAAATAGCAGGACTTGCAAAAAAGGTATTTATTTTGTAGAATAATATGCGACTTTTTAGGTTAAAATTAAAAATTTATAATTATTAATGTTTGAAGCTAATTTATTCTTTTGTATCGAATTGTAACAAAACACTTAGATAATTACTAAGAACATGTCAAACTAATACATTGAAATATAAAAAATATTCAAAAGCTACACATTCAATTAATTTGAGCTCGAAAAAATTCTCGGGGTCCCTTAACCCTTAACCACCGTGGGTCTCCTGGACCCACGGTGCCAGTTAAGGGTTAATTGTAACTTTACCAAAAAATATTTTTTTTTTAAAAATTCCGAATCTTATTTTGATCACTCGAGAAGTAAAAACATAATTTTAACATTGAATTTTGACTCTACAATACAAAATGAAAATTCGATTTTTCAAAACATTTTTCAATGACTATGTGTATTTAAAAAAAAAGAAAAGAAAAGAATGACTCTAATTAAAACGCAATGAAATTTTGTATTCATAGTAGTATATTGACCGATGAGATTTTCAGTCTCAGGGACAATGTTAGGTAATAGGCAAAGACTGTGCATTATAGTCTCGCACAAGCCGGTGCGATACTCGTTGCTTGATGCTTGAAACGAGTGCGGTTTCCTAAGTTTATTCAGTCTTCGTGCGAGACCCGCTAAGACAAGATCTTATATTGATAATGTTCAATTCTTCCTGTGAATAATGCACCACGTGCTCAAGTGAAAATTTCATTTTTAACAATTCAGTGAAACTTTAGTGATGTAATTATTATTATTCATCAAAAATTGGATTAAAAATTAAACCCATAAAACGTAAGTATTTATTTTTTATTATTATTATTTTTTAAAAAGCAATTAGAAGAAAAAAGCGCGCGTTTTTTCATTTTCCATAAAATTATTTACAAAATAATTGTAAAAAAATTTTCTGAAAATTTATGAAAATATTAGAAAACAATTGTTTGTTAATATTATAAACAATTAAAATTTTTAGACTTAATAAATAAAAAATAACATTTTCTCGACATTTAATTGACGAATTTAAAAATAAAAAATAGTTTCTTCTTTTCTTGAAATTTGGTATTTAAAAATAATTTTTAAATAAATTTATTTTTAAAAATAGTTTGTAAAATTGTTTATTTATAAAATGTTAATAAACAAGTGTTCTCCATGTTCGTAAAATATTTTTTATTATCAATTTTATAAATAAACAATTTTAATAACTATTTGAAATAACATTTTTTAAAACAAAAATTATTTCTAAAACCACATTCCAAGACGAGTAAACCTATTTTTTGTTTTTAAATTTGTCAATTGGTTCTCGAGAAAAATTTTTCATATTTTGAGACACATAAAAATTTCAATTATTTATATTTTTAACAAAAAAAAAAAATTTGTTTAGTTTAATATTTTTATAAACTTATTATGATTAGCAGTAAAAATGAAAAATAATAATTAATATTCTTTATTAAAAAAAAAAAAATATTAAACATTAATTTCTTTTTGAAAATTTTAGATGATCCGTTTGAAAAATTCTGACCCTATATTATCTTATTATCTATTATCTATACCCTATATATTCTTTTAGTAAATATTCAGCACGTGTTTAATTTTTTCAAAAAAAGCTTTCATTATTAAAAAAAATTGAGTTTTTCAAAATGGTACTTGCAGAAAAGTTTTTTATTCAAATTAAATATAATACGGAAATTGATTTTGTAAATAAATAATAACCAGTATAAAGTCTCATAAAGTTAATTATTGTCCTGTGAATAAGAATTCAAATGATGGATTATTCTAGTTATACTTCGAAAATTTCGATCGATAATCAATCATTCAGATTAATACATTTTATTTTTAGTAAAAAAATTTAAATATGTACATAATAAAATTATACAGATCGATAATAATTATCATTTTTCTTTTAAATTATTTTTTATTCTTACAATTAGTGGAATTAAAAATATTCTCAAAATAAGTTTTGTAATTTTTAGTTATTTTTTTCAATTTTTCACATTCTCATTTTTATATAATTTTGTAACTAAAGAAAATTTCTGTATAATAAATTTTTATACAATTAAAAAAAAGAAGATTATACTTTTTATTTTTTTGCAACGTAGACTTGTAGATTAATAAAAAATTTTTAATGGAGTAGATAAAGAAAAATTCGCTGTATCTTCTTTCATAAAAAAATGTGCATTAACGAAAATAAATTATTTTCCTTATCAAAATTATACGGGCTTTTGCCCGTATGTACTTCAAATAAATATTAAAACCTAAATATATCATTTTTTATTTTATTATTATATAAAAAAAAATGTTTTTAAAATTATTTTTGAAAAAAAAATTTTTGAACAAAAAGATGAAAATCAAAAATAAATTTGTAGATGAAAGAGAGGATTTTTTTTTTTAAACGAAAGCTGACTATTGAAAATAACTTTTTATGACAAAAAATACAAGAAAAAAGTTTCTAAAAGTTAAATGTGTAAATTTTATATTTTTTAGGACCGTTGAGTAAAAATAAAAAAACTTAACATAATAGAAGAAAATTTAATATAAACGAAAAATTTTTAATCAAAAAATATTGACATGAAACATTTTGAAATGATAATTTTTTGAGGTTGTCAAATATTCTACAGACAATTGTTATTGTATTTATAAAACATTGTAAACAAAAAATATAATTATTCGAAACAGTAGATTCCAAAAAATTAAGTTTGAGAAAAAATCATTCGGAAAGAAAGCCATTTGAAAAATAAACGTATTCGGAATTTGTAATTCGAAAAAATTTCTGAGAATTTTTTTGCAATATTTGAAAAATTTCAATTTAAAGCCACCTTCAGAACAATTACAAACCTATATTTTTGCATATATACAAAAAAAAATTGACCAAATTTATTGCCTCTTAGTGTGACCTAATTTACAAATTTCAAACCATTTTAAGTTTAACAATGCATAATTGTTGGACTTGAATTTTTTTGCGGATGAAAATAAATTCAGAAATATGTATAGATTCTATTTAACATTGTTGCTACAATACTATACTAAAAAAAATATATATTTGATTTAAATAATCGGTTACTTGATTATTATCAAATAAATATATTTACTAGAACCAAATTATTTGTTTGTTAGTTTTTAAATTATTTAAAAACTTAATATTATTTATTTATTGAAACAATAATTTATATATTTGAAACAAATGCCATTTAATTGACTCAAATAATAAATATTTAATACAATTTTCATTTGTCATAATTAGTTTTGAGCCGAATTTTTATTTCTTCGAATTAGTTTGTAGAATTTTCATCAAAACGATTTTCTATATTACAGAATTTTTATTTGTTCGAATTTTTATTTTCTCGAATTTTCATTTAACATAATAGGCATTTTAAAAAAATTTTTATTGGGTACAATTTCATTGCATTGAATTTTCTTTTATAAAAGAATTTTCATTGAAAGAAAATTCTGTGCAATGAAATTCTATCCAATAAAAATTTTTTTAAAATGCCTATTATTTTAAATAAAAATTAGAGCAAATTTAAATTCCAACAAATATAAAAATTCGAAGAAATAAAAATTTTTTGCCAAAAAAAATTTATATATAGAAATACCTAATTATAATGATAAATTTTTCTTAATCTAAAAATTTATTTTTTATTAGGATCAACATTTTCTTTGCATTAAAAATTAATTTTCGAAACAAAAACATTTTAGACAATTATTTGTTAACACTTAAGTTTCTTGATTTAAATTATTTTTTTTATAAGTAACTTTTTTATAATAAAAAAATTTACTTTTATTTAACATTTAAAGTTCATCTTTATTTTGTTCTACGTGGGTAGAGTGTAATCTTACACACCCTACAATATCTATTATATATTTTATTGTTCAAAATTCCATGCACATTACATATCAGATGAGTTTTTCTCATCCTCGTCTCCTCCTCATTTATCAATATATTGAGTAACCAGGCATGCATAGCTTATTTTCCTTTCTTCTTCTCAATCACTTCCTTTCACTACTTTATTTCCTTATCTAAATTTTTTAATCTCTCATCTTGGTTTTATATATTCTTTTCAATATTTTCAAAAACATCTTTATTTAATTTCTTTTTTAAAACTACTGAAAAAAATTATTTTAGTTAAATATTTTATAACAATAATTTTCAATTTAAAAAAATACATTAGGGTCAGTTGGGGTAAATGGGGACAAAATCGCTATTTTTCACATATTACGTAAGTTTCTTCCTTTAAAAGGTAATATTTGTGGGTTTATATTTTTTTAAAGTTATTATTTACGTTCCCGGGATTAATTTTATGCAGAAGAAAAAAATTTAGATAAGCTTTAAGGATAGGTCCTAGTAAGGCAGCACCACCTATATCGAAACTAAAATTTTGGAAAATTATTTACAGTATTTACTTGAAAGCAAGACAATAAAATACTTTGCCAAATGGCTGTCAAAATCAGTAAAAATAGTGTCGATATGCTATGTTAAAAAAAGTTTTTTTTGTTATTTTCGTGATTGGTGAATCTTAGCTGGTATATTTTTTAGTGTTTATTAATTCTCCAAAATGAAAATTGCATATTTTTTTTTGTTATTTCCGAGAAAATATCTTAAAAGTTTTGGTAAAAAAATATGCTTATATTTAATTTATCGTCATTAATTTTTTTTCATTGTTTTAACTCAAAAAAAGTTTTAGCTCGTATATTTCTTGACAATAATCAATTATCCTAAAGGAAAAAGTATTTTATTGTCTTGCTTTTAAGTAAATACTGTAAATAATTTTCCAAAATTTTAGTTTCGATATAGGTGGTGCTGCCTTACTAGGACCTACCCTTAAACGCCTGAAACTGACTGTCCTCATTTACCCCAAAATTTAGAAAATTTCATAAAATTTGGGGTAAATGGGGACAGCATAGTTTCTAAGAAAGTTTTAGGAAAAAAGTTCCCTTAAGTATATTACTGTATTAAGGGATGAAAAAACTTGAAAAAAATTTGTAGTAGATATACAGGGTGTCCCATTTTAATCTATCAGGCGAAATAACTTTTAATCAGTTGATTTTACAAAAAAATGTTTCAGACAAAAGTTGTTTTGCTCAGAGGGGGACATCCAGTGACAAACTTTAATTTGACCTAAATGACCTAAATTAGGACATTTCAAGGTCAACTCATTTTTTTTAAATGGAACCACCTACTTTTTATGCCGGAAATCGATAGAGCAGGAAATTCCACGTCGAAATCGTTGATGCACTTTTTTTCGATAGGTCGACCTATTTAGGACAAATAGGTCATTTAATTTTTATTGTATTAGGGGGAATAACTTTAAACTAATTAATTTCACAAAAACATGTTTCAGTCAAAAGTAGTTGTGGTTAAAGGGGAATATTCAGTGATGACCTTGAATTTGTTCTAAATGACCTAAATTAGGTCATTTCAATATCAACTCATTTTTTTAATGGAACCATCTACTTTTCATGTTATAAATTGGAAGAGCAGGAAATTCCACGTTAAAATCATCAAAGTACTTTTTTCGACTGGTCAACCTATTCAAGTTAAATAGGTCATAATCAATTTGACCTACAAGGCCTTGGTTAGGTCTAGTCTAGGTCAAATAATTTTTCATGAAGAAAGATCAAGTTTTTATGCAAGGAATCGTCAGGGCAAGAATTTTTATGTAAAAAACACTAATGTCATGTTTTTAGGTCAAATAGGTCATATTTAATTTCTTATTAAACTGTATTTTGTATTAAAAGCATTTTATGCAGCTCTTGGCTAGTTTTTAGAAAACTACTCAGAACTCACCACGTGAAAGTGG